ATCTAAGAGGCGGACAAGCCAGGTGAGCTCAGCCACAACACGACGCATGGAGCGATACTCCGCTTCTGCAGAGGAAAGGGAGACGGAAGGTTGTTTCTTGGACTTCCAAGAAACAGGCCTGCCACCTAGACTAATGAAGAAGCCACTGACGGAGCGCCTGGATTCAGGGCAAGTGCCCCAATCGGAATCACAAAAAGCGAGGAGATCAAGAGAGGGAGTGGAATTGAGAAAAATCCCTAAACCAGGATCATGAAGGAGATAGCGAAGGCAATGTTTGGCAGCGGAAAGATGAGGAAGACGAGGATCTTGCATGTATTGACTAAGATGTTGTACAGTGAAGGAAAGATCAGGACGGGTGTGAGTTAAAAAATTAAGTTTACCCAACAGGCGACGATAAAGGGAAGGATCAGGTAGAGGGTCCCCAACACCAGAGAATAACTTGCAAGAGGGATCGAGAGGGGAAGAAACTGGAGAGAGATCAAATCAGTTGAATTCAGCCAAAAGCTCGAGCACAAATTTGCGTTGACTGAGGATTAAACCTGATGGCTCACGCAGAACCTCCATCCCCAAGAAAAAAGATAAGTTCCCCAAATCCTTAATCTTGAATTCTGAGTCTAAGAAAAATTTTGAGGTCCTGTAATTCCTGAAAATTGTTCCCAGTAAGTAAGATGTCATCCACATAGACAGCCACCAAAGAAATAGAATCACCAGTCTTCTTATAGAATAAAGAGTAGTCGTTGAGTGAGTAAGAAAACCCCTTAAAGTTCAAAGCAGCAGTTAAACGGGCATACCATTGCCTGGACGCCTGTCGTAAACCATAGAGTGATTTTTTAAGACGACAGACCATATTGGGAGAAGGTGGGGAAAGGCCAGCAGGGAACTTCATATAAACTTCTTCAAAAAGGTCCCCATGTAAAAAGGCGTTATTAACATCCAATTGGTACAAACCCCATCCCTTCTTTACTGCAATGGCTAGGATACACCGTATGGTGGTCATCTTGACAACAGGTGAGAAGGTCTCAGTAAAATCGATCCCCTCTCTTTGAGTATCACCACGAATAACTAGGCGAGCCTTTAGTCTTTCCACAGACCCATCAGACTTGAGTTTTACCTTATAGACCCATTTACATGGAAGTGCTTTCTTCCCAGGAGGAAGAGGTACAACCTCCCAAGTCTCATTAGCCAATAAAGCATCAATTTCTTTAGTCATTGCTTCCTGCCAACCCGGATGCATAGCTGCCTGAGAGAATGAGTTAGGTTCTTGAATGTGAGGGATAGAATTAAGAAGAGTTTGGTTAGAGGGTGAAAGGGCAGTGAAGGAATAGTGGTTAGGAATCACAGGGGTAAGGAAACAAGGAGTAGATACATCAGTCAAGTGGACAGCTCCACAAATGTAATCAGCCAGATAGGAAGGTATTTTGTGTTCCCTAAGAGACCTGCGAAGGGCAGTATCCAGGTTCAAATCCACTATCCACTGACCTGGGGCAAAGGAAAAGAATCTTTTGGACAGGCTTTATTAAGGTCTGTGTAATCTACACAGACTCGTCGCTTACCGTTCTTCTTGGGAACCACAACAGTATTAGCTAACCAGTTAGGATACTTTACCTCGCGAATCGAACCAATTTTTAGCAATTTTTGAACTTCCTCTTGAATCACCTTATTTTTGAAAGTTCCTTGTTTTCTTTTCTTTTGCTTGACGGGAGGATACGATGGATCTTCATTTAGTTTCTGAGTCATCACCTCCGGTGGTATACCTGTCATGTCTGTATGGGACCAAGCAAAACAGTCTGCATTAGCTTTTAAAAATTCAATTAACTTACGTTTTACCTCCGGGCTAAGATTAGCTCCTATGTACACTTTTCTCTCGGGCCAATGTATAAATAACACCACAGCCTCTAGCTCTTCTATCATTGTTTTGATGTTATCATTCTCCTCCGGTTCTTGAATGGTATCAAGTCTTGAATCCAGATCTGTTTGCTTCTGCTCAGGTGAGGTTGTTTCCATGTTACCCTCATCTAAATTCTGTAATTGCTATTTGTCTCCACCATTAACAATTGAATCTGCAACGGAATTGATGCTCCTAGATGTTTGTTGATCACCTCTGATTTGGCATATTCCCCATGGAGATGGGAATTTAATAACTTGATGTAGAGTTGATGGGACAACATCCATATCATGGATCCAAGGTCTCCCCATGATCATATTATAAGCCATTTCCATATCTACTATCTGAAATTTAGTTTCTTTAACAACACCTGCAGCAAAAGTTGTTAGAACTACCTCTCCTTTTGTTACTACACTTGAATTGTCGAACCCGGACAAGGCATGCGCCTTTGGTATCATTTTGTCTTCAGCTTGCATTTCACGTAATACCCTTAGTAGTATAATATTTACGGAACTTCCTGGATCAATCAAAACTCGCTTTACATTAGTGTCATGTACAAGTAAAGATATTACCAGTGCATCATTGTGGGGGGTGATTACTCCTTCTGTATCTGCATCATCAAAAGTGATACTTTCATCTTCTAAGGTCTGTCGCACTCGCTTCCCGTGCGTGATTGTTACTTTGGAAACTTTATTTGAAGCCGTATATGTTACTCCATAAATATCCTCTCCCCCACTTATAACATTCACGGTTCTCTTGGGTGATGGGGGCTTTGGTGGTTCTTGCCTATTTTTCATGTAGGCTTGCTTACCTTTCTCACTAAATAACTCAGTGAGCTACCCTTGCTTCAATAGATGGTCCACTTCACTTTGCAAGAATCTACATTCTGAAGTCTTATGCCCGTGATCATTGTGAAATTCGCACCAATGATCTGGATTGCGCTTATTTGGATTTGACCGCATCTCTTTTGGCCACCGTACCTTATCTCCCATGCTCCTCAAAACAGCTACGAGCTCGGAGGTAGTGACATTGAAATTATATCCACCAAATCTTGCCTTCAAACTTCCATCATCATCTCGTGACCCGCGTCTGTTTCGATCATTCCTGAAC